CATTGCATGTCCACATGTGCAAGTGTGCATTTCAGCCTGTGTGTGTATAAAAAAAGAGTGAAAAAAACAATTTCCCCCTAGGGGATCAATAAAGTATATCTTCTTCTTCTTAGATAGTGACACTGTGACAGTGATATTGATTTCTTTTTGAGGTGGCCCTTTTTTCATGTGGCTAAAAAGGTCTCTGCTTCTTGATACTGGGGTTGTGCTGACCTCTGTGTCAGCTGCAGGTAATACATTGTCTGTGGATAAGTGCCTCTTATAACCCCCCTTCAAAATACCCGCACTGTCTCTTTAAGAGTCTCTGTCGTTACCGCTGTAGAACGACGACGACGTCGCGACACGCATGCGTAATGGCCGACCACTGATCTACGTCGACTTCTGATGACGTTTTTATGTAACTTCGAATGATTGCGCGAAATACAAAGCGACAGGACAAGCATATTTCGGCGCCCGGTTGAATCATCCACGGGTTTAAAGTTTAGTGACCGTCCCGAGCTGGTGATGAACTAACAGCTCCACCGGACAGAGGGTGTATTTCTTTTATTCACCTCCGCTGACCGGCTCTCCTCTTCGGTGATGGAGTACGGAAAGGACAGAGTGGTGGCGTTAGTGGACATGGACTGCTTTTACGTCCAGGTGGAACAGAGACTGAATCCAGCTCTGAGGAACACTGCCTGTGTGGTGGCCCAGTACAAGACGTGGAAAGGGGGCGGGTGAGTTTGTGACACGGAGACATTAAACCGATAGCCAGGAGACTGGACACGCAGGAGGGTTTGTCCTCTGGATGACAGCAGATAGTCAAAGTCTCTAGTCCCTCATGTTTACTCAGTGCTTTATGCCTTTAGCATAACGTTAGTCTTTTCTGTTTATTGAGACAGCAGGGCAGTAAAGTAAAACCTCTGATCCTGAGCCTTATCGCCATGGCCACAGCGGCTCCATGTCCATAAGTGATAGGATGCAAATGAGTATTCAAATTCTTGTAAATGGTTCCAGGAAACGAAAGAAGAGGAACTGAAAAAGAGCTCAAAAGGAGAACTACAAAATTAGATAAAAGGACAGGGCAGGAAATAGCTGTGAAAGATCATTATTTCACTTAGAAATAGTATAAATAGTAGTTTTTACAGATGTCTCAAAGTCTTCCTCAGCAGATTCAGGTTGCTCAGCTCAGTTGTCACAGAGATTGCTCAGTTGCTTTTTAGATCAACTTTATTATAGTTTACACATATAATAGATTACACAGACAAGGAAATTGCTTGAATAAAATCTTTGTAAAGTGCTTCAGGTTGCTCAGCTCAGTTGTCACAGAGATTGCTCAGTTGCCATCACTTGGCCTGAAGAACACAGAGGGAATGGTAACCTCACTCTGGCACTGTTCAAGATCAACACACACTGCGTATTTTCACATGTGTAGAGTCTGCTCAGTTGCATGGATCCTAAATTGCCATCTCTGTGCCGGTGACTCACCTGCCTGCATCATCCCTCGGACCGTACTATTACCAGATTCTCACGGTTTGCAAACATGACTTAATAATGTGTTTTCTACAACTAAATGTCATCCTCTGTTAGTATCATAGCTGTGAGCTATGAGGCCAGGGCCCACGGTGTCACCAGGAACATGTGGGTGGACGATGCAAAGAAACTGTGCCCAGACCTCCAGGTGGCACGAGTGCGTGAGTCTCATGGCAAGGCAGACCTGACGCAGTAAGTGCTGGTGATGTACTCTACTACACTCATTCACAGTTCCCGGGGTTGTGCCACAAAACACTTCATTTTTTCTTTGACAGGATGAATAATGAATATATGATATTTCGATACCTCCTTGTGTAGTTACAGGGAGGCGAGTGTGGAGGTTATTGAGGTGATGTCTCGCTTTGCTGTGATTGAGAGAGCCAGCATCGATGAGGCCTACATGGATCTGACTGCTGCAGTCCAGCAGCGGCTTAAAAACATGACAGACAAGCACATTGAGCCTCAACTCAGGACGACGTACATCCAGGGGTACCCAACAAGTTCACCTGAACTGGAGGCCCCTGCAGAGGGTGTTGCGTTGGATAAAGGTAGGCTCCACTAATTGTCACAGGAAGGTGGTGTTGAAAGGTGAGACTAAACAAAACCGCGAAAACTGTGAAGGATGTATCGCTCTAATAATGTCATGTCTGTCCCCAGAGGAACAGAGGTCCAGAGGTCTTCAGCAGTGGTTGGAATCTCTACCTGGCCCCCCATTAGGGGAGCAGAGCTCTGCAGAGCTGGAGCTAACTGTGGGGGCGCTCATCGTCGAGGAAATGAGGGCAGCCGTGGAGAAACACACAGGTTTCCGCTGCTCAGCAGGGATATCACACAATAAGGTAGGAAAACTCATTGTTTTATTCTCCTAAATTTAAAGAGTAGTAATTGTTTTTGCTATGGTTATAGTTTACTGACTGCTTTTTCCAGGTGTTGGCCAAACTAGCCTGTGGTCTGAACAAACCTAACAGACAAACCATTCTGCCTTTGGACTCTGTGACAGAACTTTTCAGCTCTCTTCCCATCGGCAAGATGTGAGTTCAAAGTACTACTGCTACATAAATGATTTACTCATCACAGATTATAATCGTATATTGACATAGAAGTGTAAAAACAGAAGTTGACTTGTATTTTTGCTTATCTCACCTGTGCAGCCGCAACCTGGGGGGTAAGCTGGGTGCCTCCATTACAGAAACTCTGGGAATAGAGAACATGGGAGATCTGACTGGCTTTTCTCAGGCCCAACTGGAACAGAACTTTGGAGAGAAGACAGGGTAAGACAAGCCAGATATACCTTTTCAAAAGACAAACAAAATCTTGCTTAGCTTTTGCATTTATTCTGTCAGACACCTTCATCATTTTAGGTGGAATGGACCTTTTGATTACAAAGTCGGCTCAGAAGCACCGTTTTATTTCTACTTGATTCCCAATGACTTATCAATGAATCTGTCTGCTTTGCAGTCAGTGGCTGTATGACTTGTGTCGGGGTATTGATTTTGAAGCAGTGAAACCCAGACAGCTCCCTAAATCCATCGGCTGCAGTAAAAACTTCCCGGGGAAGACATCGCTGGCTACAAAAGAGCAGGTATAGCTCATCACTCTCTGCTTCCCAGTGTATAAAAAGTCGTGCTCAGTCTGTCTTTTATTCTTAGTCTCATTTTGACCGTAACTGAAAGGGATGAAACTTTCAGAGAATGTAGTTGATCCATCTAGATGTGTAACAAAGGTGATAATAGACACATTCTTAATGTAATATTGTTAACAAATGTACCAACTTTTACATAATTTCCTTTTCTTGTTTTCATGTAATTATTAACACCTTCTAGGTACAGTACTGGCTTCATCAACTGGCCCTAGAGCTGGAGGAGAGGCTGACCAAGGACAAAGAAGTGGTAAGAAAAAGCTATGTGTAGTGTAATGTTTTTATTTTTCCTTATTACAGCCGTACTACCTATTTCCTAGTGACTATAACTGTGCCTGTCATTTCTCAACGTCTGTCAGAATGGGCGCGTGGCTAAGTTGCTGACAGTCGGTGTTCGTCAGCTTGGGGACAAAAGGCCGAGCAGCTTCTCTCGCTGTTGTGCTTTAGTGCGCTACGAAGCGACCAAGCTATCCAGTGACAGCTTTGCCATTATCAAGAGTCTCAACACAGCAGGAAACCACCAGGCAGCATGGTAATTAGAATATATTAACACTGAAATATTTGAAGTCGGTGGTTAAAGGAATCCTGTGATTTATTTTGTCTTGCAATATGTCCCCAGGAGTCCACCCCTCACCCTGCTACACCTCTCAGCTAGCAAATTCAGCGATGCTTCATCAGCAGGGGGGATTGCTGGCTTTCTTTCCAGTGATGTCACTTCAACCCAGAGTGTTTTTCCCACCACTCAGTCCTCCACCCAGCCACCCTCGAAACTGAAAAATGACTCCGCCGGCAAACAACCGGGCACCATCCAGTCCTTCTTTCAAAAGGCAGCTGAGAAACAAAGACAGAAGGTTACAAACAATGTAGAAGATGACATAGTCTCAACAGGAATGCTTCCATCTTCCTCCACTCCTAAAACCTCCGTTACTGACTCTCAGGTGGAGACAGATACCAATTGCCCTGTTACTTCCCTTACACTTTTTTCTCACTCTAAAAATGCTACAGCAAGCCCCCATTCTGATATTTCCTCTTTCTTTCACACGAAGACTCTCGAAGGAAACGTACAGGCCTCAGCCTCGACATTGACCAAACCTGACATGGGACACACGTCTGGAGAGTTTACATCCCACCAGTCGCCACGTGAGGAGTTAAGAGATGAGCTGGACATGGATCCAGAGGTAGATCACTGTCCTCCCAGTGTGGCCAGAGAAGACCTGTTGAACTGTGAGCGCTGTGGCCAGGAGGTGTTGGTTTGGGAAATGCCTGAACACAATGATTATCACTTTGCCCTGGACCTCCAGAATTCACTGTCTTCATCCACGAGTTCAGCAACCATCTCTTCATCTTCCTCCACCACCTCTTCTTCTCTAACTCCTGTCAGAGTGGGAGCAGCAGGCATAGCCCAGTCCTCCCGGGGCAAGACAAAAACCAGAGGTCAATCGGGACCCCAGCCCAAAAGGCATCGCTCCCAAGGTGGGAGCACGGGCACTCTGGATTCTTTTTTCAAGAGGAACTGAGGATGTGTTGTAGAACTGCATTTTTAAAGTAAAGTAAAACACAAATTTTGGATAATGTCCAAATGATCAATGTTATTGTGCCTTATATTATAAGAATGTGTACAAATTACAGAAAGTGTTTTTTTATGTTCTTTGTTTCACATGCTTTTTATTGTAAAGGGAAAGAAAATAATTGTATAAACCAGAGCCTATTAAAAATACTTTTTACATTTTGTTGCAGTTTTCTGACGCGCCAGCAGATGTCACTAATCAGTTAAATATAGAGGAGGAATCCCCACTTGAGTGTCAATAGTCTTCTTGTGGGCATAAGAGATACTATATTTTGTAAGATAAGAGTATTTATGTTAAATACTGATTGTTAGTAGGATGAAAGAAATGGCACCATTATGAATTGAGCCCATCCTGTTCTGTGAATACTTCTCTACAAAGGTGAACCTATTGTACTGTAGTGCACTGAAAAACAATTGAATGAGGAAATTACTCTTGCGTTGTCTTGCATCAGCTGGGGAGAAGATTGGGAGGAGCTGTTTCAGGAAAATGAAAGCAAGCCATTAAAATGTCAATGTTGTGTAGTGATTAATGGCTCTGACACATCCAGTAGACAAAAGGCTGGGTGTATGATGACATGCTTGAAAACACTGAGCAATTTTTGTTCTACTTAAAAAGAAAAAAAGCAACTGCTAAAGAGACAATAAAAGTTTTATTCATGTATATCATGATACACAAATTAGATCTGTACATAAATATTGCATTTCACCCAAATAAAGATCAAAATATTACAATTTTAATTAGAAGGAAGGTCTTAAATGTGATTTCAAAAAAGTGAAGATGTGTTGGTGTCATTAAGAAGACTGCAAAAACAGTGAAAAACGTGTCTGAATGAACTGTAAAATCTGGAACTACTACAAATCTATAAAATACTCAAATGCATTAAAACAAACACCTGATATAACTTCATAAAGGCTATAAAATATTTTGGTTGCTTTTAGTTTTCCTCTCTTTGAGTGCACACAAACTGTGCATAACAACGTGGGTGCAACAAAACAGGGCACACATTTCAGTTGTCCTCTCTATCACCGGTGTCAGTGGGACAATCTATAAGTCACATCAACATGCTATGATAAGACAAATAATAAGGCCAACAGTAGCCATTCATTTTCAGTCTTCTAAATATCAAAAGTTGTTGAAAGGAGTAGCACCAACTTAATAAGATTGTTTACTAAGTCATAAAACTGGGGGGTGTAATGGAAGGCTACTCTAACAGTAGTTCCACCAGGCACTGTGTTAAACCCCTTCAAAAATAGTGACATCAGTAACGTAAATGAAGAGACGAAGTACCTCAAACATAATTGCTTTTAAACGAAGCTGCATCAGTAGGCAGCTTCACATACTACAGAATCCATAATCAAACATCGCTTTGGAAGAAACCCAAACCCCTCTTTTTTTTCCTCACACCCCCTCCCCCCCTCCAATGGAGCAGTTCTGTGAGAGTGGAATGCTGTCTAATACGATATCTACACTGACCTGAGTAACTAAAGCACTTGAAAGACAGGCAGCGAGATCATTGCCATCTCACTGCACTATCGTGAGGCATTATTTGTGAATAGAAAAAAATAATTCTTATAGACATGTGACATACCAAAACCAGTTACTAGGTGATTGCCAGTGTGAGTTATATTGGCAGGCTGACACACAAAATGGGTCAAGTTCCAACTTTGCATACCTCGCAATGCTCTCCTTTTATCTTCATAAAGTGCCCTTGACAGCAATATAGCTTGAAGATGGTTTAGCTTATATACAACTAATAAGCTGTGTCTGAGAACCAAAAAGAAAACCCTTCCTGAAGCTTTCACCATTATCTCACATAATCCCTTAGTGGTTACTAAGAAAATGGTCTGATTTGAGAATATTCAAATACAGTGAGATCAGAGGCGTGTCGTTATCAGTCAGGCACTATGCTGGTAACACAGACAAGCTGCTGTGGGGGGATGACAAGTAAGACACTGGTGATATAGGTTACACCTTAATGTCCAAGCATCTCATACAGTTGACTTTGTAAACGATTTATCTGCCAAAGGTCAACGCTGGCATTTACAGTATGTTTCAGTGCAAGTGTGTGTCTGCATCTTACTGAAGTGAGTTAGGAGTGCATTTAGGCGTAAACTGTAATGGACCAATAAAGTATATCTATCTATGTATCTATCTATAAGTAGCACTTCAAAGTGGGTGTGAGAAAACAACTTCCTGGTTGCCACGTATTGATCTGTGCATTGCAAATATGTGTTCTTGACAATCAATATTACTTTGGTAGTCCTAAGTGAATGCGTGAGGGGGTTTCCTCTCATCAGTGCCATGAAAAGCATCATTCTTTACACCTCAACACCAGAAAGCAGACTAAAATATCAGTTAATAGGTATTTAAAAGGCTGAAGAGGACAAATGAGGAGGCTGGTGACAACAAGGCTTTGGAAAATGGTGATAAAACAAATCCTGTGAAAGAGAAGTACTGCGCAGAGAACGGGTCAGTGGTCTTTGAGAAAGCAGGAGGTTGTTCATAAAGCACCTCGTTTTTGGTAGGACGGAGTTTTCTGCTGTGGTTCTCCGCTGTGGTTCTCCGAGAAACTTCAGGCTTCGTCATCCTCGCTTTGGGATGGCCCGTACTGGGCGATGGGCTGCAGCTTGGTGACGTGGCCGATCCCTTTGGTCACGCCCTCTCTGAAGAGCACCTTAGCTCCGACCTTCAGGTACTCTGGGTGCTTGATAAACTTGAATAGAACCACTGCTTTCTCCCCTGTCCTCAGCTCCTCCTGTAGGTCAATGATGTATGGTAAGAACAGGACGAAAACAGAGACAGCATTAAGAATAAACATCAAGCCCAGGTTTTACAAGACAGTTGTAGCTCAGTGGATGAACTAACCTTGCCGTACACAGCTTCCACAGTGGCGGTCTGTCTCACATTGCCAATGTGCACAGTAACCTGAAAGCCCTTGTGGAAGGTCTTGGCATGGAAGAGCAGCACAATCTCAGCCTCAAACATCCAGCAGATAGTAGGATCCATCTCCGGACTCACCATCACCATGCCCTGTAAGTGGAAAACACACAGACATTGTACACACATATATCAGATAGAGAGAAATGTAAAAAGAGTTTTATTAATTTAGCATGAACACTGATGTGTCTGACCTTGCGTAGTAATGACCGGTCGAAGTTGCCCAGGGCAAGTGTGGCAGCCTGGCCGGCCCTGAGTACCCTGCACGCCGAGCGATTCCTTTGGATGCTACCGATGGTCAACTTGTGAAACTGGCCTGAATCTGTCGGCCCTACCACAAGGTGATCCCCCTCACGGCAAATACCACTGCACAATCAAAGAGAACGGTGGGTCTGAGAGAGTCCATGCTGAAAACATTTGAATTAAAGAACATGAAGGAAGTGTTTCGACACACCGACCTGTACAGAGTACCTCCCACCACAGTCCCCACCTCTGGCACTGTGTAGATCTCATCCACCTGTAATGATGCACACTGCTGTCAATCACATCACAACCATATGTATGTGAGGTGTATGTAGCAACACAATGTATGTGCATGCATACACAAACTTCATGTCAGACCTACCTGAAACTCAGTTAGCTGTTGCATAAGCTCTTCCTGCTCCTTGCTGTTGCTGAGAGGAGGGATGGTGTTGAAGAAGACCTTGAGCAAGTCTAGACTCTCTCCAGACACACTGGACAAGGTGAAGATGGGTGTGATGCTGCCAGGGAGAGCACGAGCACATGATCAGGACACACAGATGTCACTGGCTAGTTTCTACCATCTTCAGAAAGCATTAAATGGTTCAGGTGCTTGTGCGATTATTGCATATGTAGTTGTTTCATACTTGGGTGACTGGGCGAACTGCTGTGCTGCTGTGACTGCATCATCAGTACTGTCTACGACCATGGGCACCTTGTTGCAGCCCGGCTGCTTCAAGACGCGCTCCAACTGCCGCACAGTGCGCTCCACTGTGGCCCGCGTACAAAGGTCCACCTTACTGATGACGATGAAGATAGGCACCTTCAGGGCCATGGCAATTCCGAGATGCTCCCGTGTTGTACCAGCTGAAAAAGAGGAGGTGGAAAAAGTAGGGTTTAAGTTAAGTCTAGACAGAGGGTTTCGCCACATTGAATCTAAATCCACATTCTTGAGGGAAAGGACTGTTGTGACCTAAGAGAACACCACCCAGTGTCAGTCTGGGCATGCTGGATGTCAGCAAAAATAAAACATAATGACAGATTTCATTATAATCCTGTGTTTTTAAAGGCTTTTGCTTTGAAAAGCAGAGACAGATTATTAACAGAAGCTCACAAATGTTCTGTGAGTTATGCTAAGTGTATTCTTATCTGGGCCCACTCAGTGTCGGTTTGAGGGTCAACAGATCATGTTTACAGACTGATAAAACCAGGCAGAATTTCCCATGACGTGAGATTGTTATGCCACTGGAGGAAGTAGATAGGCTAGTGGTACAGGAATATTCAACCATATATATGTATATATGGTATAATTAATGCACTGGTTGTCAAGAATGCCAAAGACAAACCTTTCTAAACAAAGTGACTTCTCACAGAGGCAGCAGTGTCCTCGAGGCATGCCTGTTAGATTATGTTTCTAATGTAAACAAAGCTGGCACGTGAGAGAAAACGATATGTATAGCAGATCACGTCTTGGTTTGGATACAGGTCTCAACTACGTCACCAAGGAGATTACAGAGACAGACAGACAGACAGACAGAGACTCAAAATACCATGACCTCTTTGTCAGCTGAACAGTGTGTTGTTTTGCTAGTTAAAATGCAAAGTAAAAATCAAAGTCCCTCCACCTATGTAAAGGCAATGAGTGATTTTCAGGTGCCAAAATATTTGCTAAAGCATCACAGAATGATACAAAATGAATACCTGCCCTTTGGCTTTTTGGCTAGTCACAGCTACAACTTAAGACAAGCCCTATGCATTACACAGATCCATTACTCTGTTTCATAATTAAAGCTGTTGCTCTTCGGTTACAGACACT